ACTCGCAGCGAGCTACTACGATTTTACTGAAGAATCTTCTGGTGGAAAGCGAAAACATTCCGAAACAGAGGCCCGTCGAAATGTCAAACTTATAGTCGCAAGAGCGATTGCAGAAGGAGCAACAAAACAGAACATGTATTACTAAAAAATTAGCATTCTTCATTTCCACTTTCTGTGAAAGGCTGAAGCAATCTAAATTAACCCGCACTCGCGCTACTAGTGACCATAAGCTCGCAAAGCTGCAGGCAGCCGTCTTTATTGGACAGATAACGGATTGCTGGCATAGTCAAGTACCAATACCATCAAAACGAACGAACAAGCCGTAAAAATGTAGGTTGCCCCATTGGCGGTGCATGATTCCATACCTCAATATGGCCACTAACATTATTGCATTCGCTAAAATTATGATAGCGATCTTGAATGGAAAGGTACCCAGAGAGAAGATCCACCTCAACAGCAGCATTCCAAGCAATCTCAGTCATCTGAAAGGAGTCCAAGCTGTGAGTACTTGGCTCAATTTAAAAAAAGTCCAGTTTCACGCAGTTAGCACTGAAATTCACTTGTCGAAGAAGATCCCTGTACGTATTGCATTGGCCACAGATTTGAATTTCGGCTTCTCTCGCTTTGTTGCGACTGACTGCCTGGTGAAAGTTGCCGCCAGCCATTCACGTACTTCATCGGGCACCGCCTCAGGAGTGACCTCCGCCAATTCATCGTCTTCATCACAGATGCGCCTACAAAACCAGTAAACGAAAACTAACTTCGACATCCTTCCATTTTTCTTGTCATCCAAGAGATCTAAAAGAATTTTAATTTTTGATTACTTAGATAGCTGTACGGTCAGGGAATAGAAAATCAACTTATCTGAAACTGTTGTGCATTTTTGCATATATGCAAATGCAAAAACGCATATTGTGACGACCCGCGGTATGTATGTTTGTGTTTGTGCGTGTATGTTTGTGTGCGCCTGTCCGGATATTTCAATCCGGCAACCATGCAAGCTCCGGCGCCAAAATTTTGTCATTGGGTTCCCCGGCCAATTGCTATCCCAGAGCACCGGTACCAACCTTAACGCATGCCCGGGCCCTGCCTACGGCCTACGGACACATGAAATTTCTGGCGGGAAAATTGCTAACTCGAGAACCAGAAAAACTGCGAAGCTGAAGTTTTGAAGAGATGTTTCCCGTCCACCTTGAATACAAAGGTTTTAAATTCAGCTTTTTAGGCGTGCTTGGTTTTCATGTGCAAGCCTGTGAAACTTTTGGAGGGAAAATAGCTAACTCGGGAACAAGGAAAGCTGGAAGATTGAAA